TTGATTTATAAATCAAGTCCAACCCGCAGCTAAGCCAAATGTATGTTGTGTTTTTTAAACTGTTTTTGTTTCTGTCCCCTATTTGTTATTTTATTTTATCTCGTATTTGTAAGCCGCCCGGAGTCCTCCAGGATTGGGCGGCATATAAGCTCATTAAATTACGAATTACGAATTAAGTCTTTCTGGAAGATTCCACCCTCCTAGACCTTTAAATATTCCTCAGTTTGTTCTTTCCAAGAAATAAAGAAGGCCCATCGACTAACTAGCTTTGCAAGGAGCTTTGTTTCAGGTTCCTGAAAGGATCATATCCAAGGCTTTATCAACTGGGAAAGAAACACGCTTTTATTAGTAACGTCTAAATTTAATTAAATGGCTGGAGAAAATCTATCACACTCATTTCCTATCTGCCTTCTTTGGACGGCATATGATAAATTAATCTTTGGCTCCCAAGTGGGTTTATTTATTGTAGTGCTGGCATCTCGGCTGCTCCTGTCATTTCTAGAAAACTCATTGACTGGAAGGGAGGAAATTTCTTGTGCTCCCCACCACCCCAGTAAAGTGTAAACCTGAGTGACAGATGACTGAATTGCATGCTTAAAAAAAAAGAATCCAAACAGATGCCCTGGGAATGAGAAATGTTGGCAAGTGGAATTAATTATAGCCTGGGTATTTTACTCAATCAAGTCACGGAGCCCTTCCTTTCTGGGAAAAAAAAAATTCTGAAAGTTACCACCAGACAAGCAGAGATTAAAACCAAGATTAATACTAGGCCAACAATCAAGCAATAAACCACCTTCCAATCAAGAAACTGTCAGCTCACTGACCTCGGAAGGACGGAAGGCTGAGTCAGCCTTCAGCCGGTCAGGATCGAACTTCCAAACTGCTGGCAGCTAGTGATCAGCAGAAGTAGCCTGCAGTACTGCATTCTAACCATTGTGCCACCATGGCTAGATACCACCAGAACAGCTGAAGCAATCAGATGAGAAGGCACAGCCTCCCCAATACCAACCTTCTGACTTGGAAGTAGAGTGGAGAGGAGACCAAATATACTCAATGAGGCTCTTTGCCAAGCAAGGAAGAAACTACCTTAACTGAAAATAGCTGGCTGGAGCCTAATTTAAGAGGCAGCCTTGACCCCCATTTCTCCATTGGAAACAACTGTCTGACTTCTTGTTTTGGCATGTGAAACCTGCTCATAAACATCTGACCTTGGTCTAGCTGACAAACCTGACTTGGCTCTCTGAACTTTGGACTGAATTTTGACTGTTCACTTGTGAGTTTCGATTGAAAACGAGCCCAAGCTTTCTTTTTAGGAGACTTTGTAAATTTACATTCCTTTCCTTGTCTGTTGCTATCTGTTCAGTCTTGAGAGTTTTGCTATTCTCACCTAACTGTTGTGTGTGTGAGTTTGAAGCCTAAAATGGGAAAGCCAGCTTCCCTAAATTGGCTAGCCAATCAGATCCCTAGGATTTCCTGTCTTATAGTCCTCAACGTTTATAAAAACATTTGTTTTTTTTCAGTACGGGGGAGCCCTCCTTCTATCAAGCAGGTACCCAGTGATCATTGTATTTTTTCTTTCTTTTAAAAATGTTGTAATCCTTTGTATCAAGATGGAGTCTGGGTGACTGAATGGAGATTGAGCATTTACTGGCCGGATGCCCTTCCTGATGCATACGTGGAGTTCACAGCAGATATTTTCTCTTAGTGCTTAGAGAGAGAAAAATGCCCCTAGCTAAGATTGAACTCACAGCCTCCTGATTGTGAGGCGAGAACTCCACCTCTAAGCTACCATGCAATCACAATAAATGTGATTCCCCTCCCCTGTATTGTACGCCTTATTTTAGCAATATTCCCCAAATGTAGAGATAATTTCAAAATCTGGTGTGTCGCTAAGAGATTTTGACTGATGTGAGGACTGCAATGAATCTCCTAAACTTCACATGAATCACATTTCTCCCTAGAGAAACTTAACCTCTCTACTCTTGAACATTTCATTTTCTTAAAACATCTAATTGCTTGAAATCAACAGCCTGAAAATATATATCTATATCTCTCCCTTTCAAGCACGAATGATGTGATTTCTAATTTTTCTTGAGCACTTGGGATTAATTACTACTTTGCTAGCAGAACAAAATGTATTGACGTGGATGAATTCCTATTTGTCAAATTATTAAAGGAATTGGAAATGTAAGGACTTTTCAAAGATGTGTTTAAATGTTCACTAGAACAAGACAGCTTCTGCTTTATTCTTTTTTGAAATATATATATATAAATATTTCACGCATTTCACATCAGAGTCTCGTTTAAGAATTCTGCTACAGTGCGTGTGTGATCTACATTGTTACTTGAACCAATAAAAGGTAAAGGTTCCCCTCGCACATATGTGCTAGTCGTTCCCGACTCTAGGGAGCAGTGCTCATCTCTGTTTCAAAGCTGAAGAGCCAGCAGTTTGGAAGTTCGATCCTGACCGGCTGAAGGCTGACTCAGCCTTCCGTCCTTCCGAGGTCAGTGAGCTG